ATGACCTCCAGAGGTCCCTCCCAACCCCAAATCTTGTGTCATTCTATGAGGAGTGTGTTGCATTAGGACATCACACATCCCTGTGTCCCTAGTTGTGGGACTTCCCACAAAACAGCTGTGCAACTCCTGCTCTTCCAACTTTGCATCCAACTCTGCTCCTACCCAGGCCCCTGCTCCTTCCCTCTTCCTCGCCCAGGCAAGGAGAGGAGGTCCCATACTGCATCCTGCAGCCAAGTGATCCAAGCTGCTGTGGGGCCAGAGCAGCTCCTGCAGAAAAGCTTTGCACAGCCAGCAAGACCCTTCCAGGAGCAGAGCTCTGCACAGAGGTGTAGGAAACCAGCTCCCAGCTGCAGACATTGTCCCAGGCCCACCCCAAAGACCAGCGCCTGGCTTTGGGTCATGGCTGTGTCTCTCTTGATGGAACAGGGCTTCTAGGAAGGGAGAACAAATTCTTAAGGAAAGGGGAGGCCTTTTTCCCTTCTGGGGTCAAATAAAAGGGCCTCAGGAGGTGCACAGCTCCGTACTGAAGAGCATCAGGAACACAGATGTAGCTTTCTGTACACAGCCCTGATCTAACACTGAATTCACCCTGTGACTTCCAAAAAGTCACTTAGTTTTCCACCAGTTGTGCCTTCCCTCTGCCTTGCCTCAGGCTCTGAGTGTCAGTAGGTGACACATGTAAAGGGAAGGCCACCCTGCAGTTCCTGCCTTTTTGGTACATCCAGTGCCCGTGGATGCCCAACAACGACAAACATCATGGAAACCTCTGCACTCATCAACTCACTTCTTCTTTGACCTGGGAGAGTGGGATTGGTTTTAACTTGAGGCAGAAGACAAGCAAAGGAGAGACAAGATGGGAGAAGTGTCTTTTAAAAAGTTCCTTTGTCGCTCGCCTCCACATCCCATGGCGATGCCTGCGCTGACGTCAATGCGGTGTTGGTTGATTTGCACCAGCTGAGGGGCTGGCACAGGATCCTCCCCTCCACAGTGGTTCTGACGTGGGGCAGGAAGGGTTTGTGCTGGGGTTTATACTCCTGCCCGTGCCACACTGCTTGCCGCAAGATGAGGAATGAGGAACCTCTGCGGAGCGACAGTCGAGCCATGTGGCTGCCCAGAGAGCCCCTCCTGCACCCTGGCACCCAGTGACAGTGGGCTGCTGGCCAGCCCTGATCCCTCTGTGCCAAGGGAAGGGCAGTGAGGCACTGCCCTGCAGCAGGGGAGTCAGAATTGGGAGCCTTGCCTTGCCAAGGGGTGCTAGACTGGCACCTTGCTCGCAGTGTTTGTGCCAGCTGTGACACAGCTGTGAGCTCTCACGTCATCCTTGCTCCTCTACCGGTGTTCTTCCTCCAGTGGAGGCTGCAGGACCAGACCTAGGCATCCAGCCCTACAGCTCTGAGGTTTCACCACCCCATGGAAGTGATGCCTTGGCATGCCCAAGCTTATCTTGCTGCCTTACAGAGCAATGAATCCCAGAAGAGCATTTTTGACTTGTAGTTTGCTCCCACACATGTGATTTGTGTGTTAATGTAACACTGCACAGTGTGGAAAACATGCCACTAAACACTCCTGGGAAAGAGGAGCCCAGCCCTTGGAATCAGGGCTGGTTTGGGAGATGGATGATGGAAAGCTACGCACCAAACCACAAGAAGGACAAGTGATGTGCGGTCAGCAGCAGTTGTCTTTACTATGGACCACAGGAGATCAGAAAAGTAACCTTGTTAACAGGAGACCTAGTGGCTAACAAAATGTCATGCTGTAGGACGTACTAGAGAAGCACAATCACCAGAACAAAACAGCACCCAGGGGGACAGGGAATCCCAGGGGGTTGCAGAGGATGCCCTATAGCAAATCTCTAGTGTGGTATTGACATGTCTGCGAGTGCAGGGGGCTGGCTGCATGGGTTCCTTTAGTCTTGGACACAAGTCAAAGGGACGTCACCTTTACCCAACTCCAGTGGTTCTGGCACAATGATTATTGACTTTTTCAGAATAAAAATACTAATATAATTTCGCTTCAAGAACTGTGTTCAAGAATCATTTCTCCAGGTGCAGTGAAAGGAGGGCAGATAGGAAAACACCCCTCCAAGGGTTGTCCTTGTGGCTCCTGCCCTCTCCTCACTGACACCACAGCCCTCCTCAGCAATCCTCTGTGGCTTTGCCTTCAGTGAATCCCAAACAAGTTTTTTCAGAAAAATACGAAAGGGGAAAAAAAAAGTATTGCTGCTTCTTCTTGTAATATTTTTCCTCTCTCTCTCTCCCCCCCTCTTTCTCCTTGAAGATGTTTACTTTCAAAAATTCCATTCCTGCAGAGATTCCTCCTGAGCTCTGAGGTCTCTGGACTCCACCCTCCTCTTCTCCAGTCAGAAAAACTGAGTCTTGATGTCTCTTTGGTCAAAAAAAAAAAAATTAAAAAATAGCACAAACAAATAACACACAACCCAGTATGATCCCATTCCACCCCGCGGACGCCTGATGAGAGGGTGTCTGTGGAAGAAGGAAGCATCAGAGACGAGCAGTCTGCTCTCTGGAAGCCGAGGTCTCCGCTCCGTCCCGTCGGCTCTCCTCTCATACGGTGGTCGCTGGCCCGTACTGGAGCACCAGAGGAGACGTTTCCTTGATGCGGACGTAGAACCGCCCCTCGGGCTGGCTGGTGTGGAGGGACAGAAGTAAGAAGTCATCGGGGAGCCACCGCTCGCTCTCGTCAGCAGCGAACACCAGTCCGAAGTGCTCCAGCTGCTCCTCGCCGTAGCAGACGGCGGCCGAGCCGCCCAGCACGTCCCGTGAGATGTCGTTCATCTCCAGCACCACCAACTTGACCACCTCCCTGGCAGGCGTCTGGCTGGTGATGTGCAGCTGTGGAGAGAGAGAGGCGGGAGAGATGGATGGTAAGGGGGAGGGATGAGGAGAACAGGGGCCGGAGGCAGCACACAGCATGGAGGAACGGTGAGGGTGGAGGAACAGCTGCCCCAGTGATACCAGAGAGCAGGTGGAAGCAGCCTGGCACAGAGCCACGGGCACACTATGTCCAGGGAAAGCCCAAGGGGTGCCCCAGCATGCCAGGGCCCAAACTCATGGACTGCTCTCCTGCCTCCACTCCTCTCTCCAAGCCCTTGCCACTCAACCCTTGCATGTGTCACCTACAGCTCTGCTGAGGCTGCCCCACCATCTCATCACCTGTAGCTGCAGAGTGACAGGGCCTGTCCTGCTCCTGGTACCATGGAGGGATCTGTGTGAAATCTCTCTTGTGAGCAGGGTCCAGACCCTCAGCCCAGCTGGACCACAACAGCTCTGCCAAACTACAACTGAAACCTCTTTGGCACATGATGATAAATTTCATCCCATGCACAAGTTTGGGGCTCTCCCACCAACAGCTACCCTTGCCCTCTGCTCCTCTGGGGACAGCCCTGTGAATCCCAAATCCTGTCAAGAAAATGAGCTCATCAGAGCCCTGGCTGCTGATGCTGGGAGCCGCTGCTTGGCCTCAAAGGCCCAAAGGCAGGACATCCATCCTCGCCCAGGCAAGGCAGCGTTTCCTTTGGCACATGTGTGGGGCTTGTGGAGCGCCAGGAGTGCTGCCCCGGCAGGGTGGTCCCAGCCCTGGCCCCACGTGAGCGCTGCCATCCCTGAACAGCCACTGCAGGTCTCAGCTGATTTACACAGCCGAGGAGGTGTGTCTTTGAACTTGCCTTGCTTCCAGGAGAACATAAAACGCTTTCAGGCAGGCGTGTCCAGAGCTTTGCAACTTCAAAAGCCACATGGGCAGCCTGCCAAGAACCCGAGGGCTGCACTTCAGCTCCATAGAAATCTATGGGCATTCCTCAAATGGAAAATAATCTGGTGATGCAGAGTTGTCTCTGGTAGGATGTCCTGGCTGGGTGCAGAGACACTGCATCAAACCTGCCCAGTAATAAACCAACCAGCTTGTTGGCTCTGTTCTTCCTCTGCCATTCCTTTAGGGTCACTTTCAACCCAAACCAGTCCATGGTTTAATGATTTTCTGCTCCATCATCCTCAGTCCTGGGCACCAGGAGTGTCTCGGAAGGGAAATTTTAACAGGGGAAGGATCTCTATGGCTGGGACCAAAGGAGGCCACAAAGCCAGAGGGGGATCTGCCCAAGATGTGCATCCTGGGGGATCCCAGGGGATCCCACCTGGAGCAGGTGTGAGTGATCAGAGCTGGGGGGTCAGCTCTTGGCAACAAAGCCCTCATGGAGAGAAGTCAGGTCACACATCTGCTCCAGCATAGTCTGAAGGAGCATGGAAGGAGCTTTGCCTGCTGCCCCAGCTGGAACTGGAGTGAGTTCTGCCACTGGAGGTGCCTCCACAGGCTGGAGACAAAAGTCTGCTGCTCTCCCTTCCCTAATGGGGAAGGCTGGAGCAGACACCACACACCTGGGAAGGGGAGGCTGTAGAAGGAGCATGGCCAGGGCAGGGGTGACAGCTTAATTTTGGCCCGGAAGGATGATGTGTTTGAACACTGGGATGTGGCAATGTGTCCTTTGCTCTGCCTGCCCACACTGGGTAGCACCAACCTGCTGTCACCTGCTGAACCACAGATGAAGAGCTGAACTTCAGCCCCACTGCCTTGTCCCCAGAATTCACTATGTGTGGCCCTGGCTCACTCCTTATGCAGCAGCAGCCATTGCTCCTACAGAGACACCCTGTCCTCCCAGGAGCCTCATCACTACAGCAGGGACAGAGGAGCTGGGGGTGTCCAGGGGACCTCACCCCTGGGACAGTGGAGGATGGGGAGGGCAGTGCCAGGTACAGGGCACGAGAGCCCCGCTGTCTCTGTCCCCATCCTGCCTGTCCTGTCCCTCCAGGCACGGCAGAGCCGCTCCGCCACCTGTTACAGGCTCTGGTACCTTGACACTGGTTTCTTTGGAGAGTCCCGTTTCATACTGAGGGCAGACCCTCAGGGTGACAGAGCCCGGCTTCTTCCCTCGGTCGGCCAAGCCCCCGGGCTGCTCTGGCTGCTGCTGTGGCGAGTTCTGAGTCCACTCATCCGAGCGCGTCCGGCAGACGGGCTCCGAGCCCTGCCGGNGCCGGGGAGCTGTCCACGGAGCCGGGGCAGGACTTTCTCGGGGCGGGGCAGTGGGGCTTGGGGAAGTCCAGGCTGCTGGTCCGAACGCAGTACGCCTGTCGCTTCTCCGTGATGCGCAGCAGCTCGATCTGCCGGCTGGGCAGGACAAAGTCACTGTCATAGAGCTTGGCCGGTGGCCGGGGCTCCTCGGACGGTGGCGGCGCTGGGGGTGAGGCCTTGAGCTCGTGGCTCTGCAGGACGTCCGGGGCACTGTCCCGCAGGCTGCGGGCCCCCCTCCGGCTGCAGCCCTCGGGCCCCGAGGAGGAGCACACCAGGTCCAGCTCCTTCGGGCTCTGCGCCCGGCTGGAGTCGTAGTCACTGTCGGTGGCCAGGAACACCTCCGAGGAGCCTTCCTCATCCGACAGCCCGTGCGAGTCTGCGAAGGGTGAGGGAAGCACAGAGGAGCTCAGCCTGAGTGCGGACACCCCCCGTTGAGGAGGAATCCAAGGAAGGCTCTGAGGTTATCCCCGTGTCACTGCCCCGGCTGACACTGACTGTCCTGCCCGTGCTCCTGGCTCAGCCCTGCTGGCACCTCGGGCACAGCCACCCCGACCCCCTGAGCACGGGCAGCCCCTGGGCCCACCAGGCAGGAGCTTGGCACAGCTGGGTCCTTACCAGAGTTGAGCTTGCGGCTGGTCTCCGGTGAGGGCACTGGGGATGGAAGGTAGTCAAGGTGGGACAAGGAGGATGGGGTTTGCTCCTTTGCTGGCCCCCCGGGCTCGCTGAGGAAGCCGCTGAGAGAGACCCCACAGGAGGGCTGCTTGTAGCGGGCGTGCTGCAGGACATCCATGATCCAGCGCATCTCTCGCCAGATCTCCTCCATTTGCTGCCAACAGAGGAAATGGAGGAGCCCTTTCACACAGCAGACGACAGCAACGAGAAAGTCCCGTGGCAAAACACGGAGTCTGTACACACACCTCTCCCCGAGCTTTGGGGGAATCTCTGGGCCAGGAAATGCAAAGAAAGTGCTCTCAGGTAGGAGGAGGATGCTGGTTCAGCAGGGGTGCTGGGGACAGGGATAGTGTGGGATGCTCTTTTGCATGTCCATCCCAAAATGCACTTGCAGGCCCTTTTCTAGCAAGGAGGGCATGTGTACTGCAGAAACCTTTGGGTCTCCTTAGGATTTTTAATGTGATCATTGCAATAAGAAGATGCTCGATAAAGCAACTGCAGCCTGGAGAGGAGAAGGCTCCAGGGAGACCTCAGAGGCCCTTCCAGTGCCTAAAGAGGCTCCAGGAGAGATGAAGAGGGACTTGGGACAAGGGTATGGAAGGATGGGACAAGGGTCTGGATGGACAGGACAAGGGACTGGAGCGACAAGGGTGAATGGCTTCCCACTGCCAGAGGGCAGGGATAGATGGGATATTGGGAAGGAATTCTTGGCTATGGGAGTGGAGAGGCCCTGGCACAGGTTGCCTAGAGGAGCTGTGGCTGCCCCTCGATCCCTGGCAGTGTCCAAGACCAGGCTGGATGGGGCTTGGAGCAACTTGGGATAGTGAAAGGTAGAAGTGGATGAGGTTTAATGTCTGCTCCAACCCAAACCATTCCGTGAATCTGAAAAACCAGCCATCTGCTGCCCATCAGCCACATCAGAGAAACCCCCAGAGCCACCAAAATCTGGGAACAGCCTTGGTGCAGATGCTGCTGCCTGAATCCTGGCAGGTCAGGGGCAATGTTGAGCCTGGCTCTCACCCCATACCTGGATGTAGTCCTGAACCTGCTGGTGCCTCTGCTTGGCAGTGGAGAGCTCAGCATCAGAGAAAGCCTCCCTGAGGCTCTGCTGGGAGAGGAGTGACTCCAGCTCCAGCAGGGCGGACACCTGGCAGTACTGCGTGATGAACTCCCGGTCATAGGTGAAGAAGTGGACTGGGAGAGGAAACAAGAGAGAGGGGGATGAAAGACATGAGATCCCATGCTGTGGATACCCTGCAGGCTCCTTCCTGTCACTCAAGATGAGGAGGCAACACTGTCCATTAGTCCACCTGGACAGGGCTCAGTACACCCCTCCATCCCTCCTCCCCAGGGAGTGAGGAAACTCTAGCCACCCCACTGCCCATCCCAGCTCTCAGGAGGCCTCAGAGGACAAGAGGACCAGCAGGGTTGGGTTTTGGCATTCCCTCTCCTTACCCAGCTCGAAGATCTGCAGTGGCAGTGTGAGGAAGCCAGAGCGAGGGGTATAAGGATTGTTCTGGCCTGGAGCAGTGCAGACGTCATCTGATGGAGGCAGCAGCAACAGGAAGGAGACCTGATCCCCAAAGTCCAGCACCTCTTGGCTGTACAGACGGAAGTCTTTGGCCTGCAAGAAGACAGCACAGGTAACAGCTGCACACATCACCTGGTAGGGCCTCTGCTCAGTCCCCATGCACAGAGGAGGTGTCCCCGAGTAGTCCTCAGGGACCACCAGCAGCCGGGGAACCTGCAGTTTCAGCACACAACCAGAGGCTCCTTGCTTCTGGCATGATCTGCATGATCTCATCATTTCTTCTCTAATTTTTCTTAAAAGTCTCAAAACTTCTGGTCAAAGTCACCGTGGCAGGGTGTCAAAAACATGCCCTCAGCAATGGCTCAGTGGTGTGCAGGGAGGTGCCCTCCCAGCTGCCCAGCCAGAAGCACATGCCTGTCATTGGGGCTGCTGGGTTGCTTCCCAGCAGATACTTGGCATGGTATGGTGGAGGACGGTTTCTCCCCATGCAGTCTGGTCCCAGAGGCTGCAGCTCCAGCCCAGCACTTGCCAGGGACCAGCCTGCTTTGGAGGGGCAGAGCTGGGCTGGTCTCTGGCTGCCCAGGACCAAACCACTGGCAGCAGTGACAAACATAGATTTGCCACTGTTTCTTTGGGGGTACAGTGTGGGAAGGACAAACAGCTCCTGTGGACACTGTCCTTGGGCAGGCAGATTCACCACTCGCCTTCTGTTTGCACAGAACTAAAATCTGGGTGCTCACAGCCCCATCCCCTCCCTCTGCCCCAGACCTTGGCTCCTGCCTCTACCTCTTGCAACGGGATGTTCACCAGGGTCATCAGCTCCTTGATGGCCACTTGGAGCTCCTGAAACAAGGGGTTCTGGGACCTGTCAGCCTCTGGCTCTGTGGGAACAGGCTCCTCCACGCTGGCCATTTTCTGCAGCCACTCCCACTCCTCCCTGCAGAAGGCCAGAGATAGACAGGTGAAAGAGGGAGCAGTTGGGGTGGATGTGGACATAATTTCTCTGAGAGCTGTGTTTGCTTGGCTGCTCTTCCCCAGAGATGTGGGAGAGGTGGAGATAGAGAGGGAACTTGGTTTGCCCTAAACTGATTCAGAATCACAGAATATGCTGAGCTGGATGGAACCCACAAGGATTGTCAGGTTCAGCCCTGACCCCACACAGGACACCCTAACAATCCCACCCGTGCCTGAGAGCACTGCATGGCAAAGGTAAGAGGAAATATTACACTGCTGCTGAAGCAGGGGGTGATGGATGCTGTTAGCAGGGGTGGGACAGAGCAGCCTGGCTGCCCTGGCTGAGCAGCCCTGCAAATCCCACCTGGAGATGTTGGGGTTGGAGCGAATCTTGACGTGGCACAGGATATTGGGGAGCTGCTCTGGCACCAGCACTCGGATCTGATCCACGGCACTGCACAGCTTCAAGTAGCCCAGGTAGAGGCCTGGGGAGAGGGCATGGCTGCTCCGCTGGTGGTAAGCCAGCTTGTCCTGGGAACAAAGGCAATGCTGGACTGAGCAAGTCCCCACAACGGGGGTTGTGCTGATGCTGTAGCACAGCCAGTCCAGCTGGAGAAGGGGAGTGGCATAGGAAGACAGCCTGGTCCTGCCAGGGTGAATCTGGCACCAACTTGATGCCTCCCCTTGAAACAAAGGGATTTTTGGAGGCCGGCTGGGCTCTGCTCCCCCTCTGCTGTGATCTTTTCAGGCCAAAGAGGAGCAGGGGGCACTGGTGTTTCCCAGGGGAGCCTACTGCAGTCCTTGCCCCAGGAGCCCCAGCACACACCTGGACGGAGATGAGCAGTGTGTCCAGAGCCGTGGGCTCCTCTGGGGAGGACACGGACTTGCGGCTGCTCTGCAGTTTGCAGATGGGGACCCAGCGGACGCTCTCGAAGGTCTGGTTGGTCTTCACCTCCTTCAGGGTGACGATGAGGATGTTGCCCTGTTTGTCTTTGATGGGCTCAAAGAAGACCTGCCCCAGGTCCTGGATGCCCAGCAGCCCCTGTGTGACAGGGTGGGAAGGCAGGAGAAAGCAGAGGGTCAGGGGACAACCCAGAGGCACAGTGGGTCTGGGCAGCTGGGATGTGCCTGCAGCTGCCTGTCCAGAACCAGTCTGCCCAGAAAAGCACCCTGATGGTCCCCAGCCCCTGTGCACGAGACTGCCATGACACCTGGCACCTCACTGTCCCACGGCTGGAGTCCTGCCAGGGAGGATGAGTGAGTGGCACACAGTCAAGGCCAGCAGATCCTGAGTTTATCCTGACTGTGGTACCTTTGCACGCTGTTCCCAAGGGAGCTCAGCCCCCAGTGTCCCACTTGAAGTGTTTGTTCCCCAGCCAGGCTGACCCTCACCTGCATCTGCGAGATGGCGAGCAGCATCTTGAAGCGCGTCTGCAGGATGCAGGAGCAGGAGGACTGGGACACGGTGACACACTGCCGCAGCCACAGGATCTCATCCCACATACATGAAACCTGCACACACCATAGAGTGGCACTGCTGTTGCAGCTGGGTCACACTAGGGGGTTTTGGGGGAATTGTTTGCCTCTCTGAGTTGGGTTAGGAATGTTCTTGGGCATGCAGCACCTCTCAGCAGGGATGCAAATAAATCCCTGTGCCACAGGCACTGAGATAACTCCAGACTCTGTACTCGAGAGCAGCCCTGAGCTGTGTTCACTCAGACATCCATCTTTATCTAGGACTGATGCCTTAAGTTTGAATACAAGTTGACCAGGGTGGGGAGGGAGAAGAAAGCACCCTCCATCAGTAGATAAGGACCACCCAGCAAATTATTTTGGCCCTGAGGTGCCCACATGCCCTTTCCCAAAGTCTGCTGACATTGGAGGAGCTGACAGCAGCTCCCTGTGCATCCTACAGCAGAGGCAGAGGTGCCATGGAAGGATGCTGAGAGGAAGCAGCTCAACAGCCACTGACATCCCTGTGGAGAGGCAGTGCCCACCCACCCTGGCACACAGCTTGCCCAGTGTGGTATTGGTCTGTCACCCATCTTTGGGCTTCCAGGGGTTGGAATGAAATGCCACTCCCTGGAAGTTTCCTGGTCCATGCTGAACCCCAGCAAGCAGCAAGTCAAAGGGCTGCCTGTACTGCCAAGCCCCAGTGTCTGGGCTGGAGGGGCAGCGGTGTTGCCTGATGCCTGCCTGTGTCATCCTGGCACTCCTGGCACTCTGCCCAAGCACAGGGTCCCTCAACCATCCACCTTGGTGAGCCAGAGGAAATCCTGCATGAGTAGGCAGGAGTAGGTGTCATCGATCTCCACCACGGGGATCTGGTCTTCATGCGTCACCAGGATGTTGTCATCCTTGTAGAAGATGGCTGTCAGGTAGAGGCCCCTGCATGGGGGGAAAGACAGACTTCAGTGCCACCCCCAGCTCCCAGCTCCATCTCCCAAAGGGTCTCTTTCCTGAGGGAAGAGGAGATGCTCTGCCCCAGGTCTCCACTTCTGTCCAACAGCCCGTGGCAGAAGAGGCTCGTGGCTGGTACGGGAGCAGGAACAGGAACCCAACATGTCCCAGCAGATACCATGGCCCATGGCCCTGCAGCACATGGGACAAAGATGGGCCAGACTCCGCAGGGGACACTGTGTCTGAACAAGAGTGGGTGCCAAGTGACCCTCAGAGGTGGTACAGGGATCTGGACACCAGCACAGCTTGGCCAGTCCAAATGGAGACACCAAGAGAACCTTTGATCTCTGGACCATGGGATTCATCTCCACTGACACCAGCAGCTCGCTCCCGCTGCAGACCCTGCTCTGAGCACCCCCAGCCCCCAGTGTGCAGGCACAGCTCTCAGGATGGGCAGGTCTGTGGCCCTGCTGGGAAAGGGGATCTCACCAACCCCATGCACCAGCCTCTCACCGCTTCAGTGTCTTGAGAAACTTGCTGCCAGGGTGGAAGAGATGCTTGAGGCTCTTGGAGACCGAATGCTTTCTGCTCTGGGGCTGGTTCTTGCAGGGCTCTGTGGAGCAGGGAGCAGAGGATGCTGCAGCAGGAGATGAAGAGCTGATGCCAACCCATTGGTTGTCTGTCTCCCTGCTCTGCTCATCCATGGCACAGACCTATTCCTGCACCACCCCAGCTCTGTGGAACACAACACAACCCCGGAGGACTCAGCTGCCCCCCTCCAGCCTCCCTGGAGCACTGTGCTGTGGGCTCACCATGGCAAATGCAGTGCTGGTGGACAGTCTTCACCTGGCCCAGCAGATGGTCCAGAGCTTCAGCCTGTCCCCTCCGCCGTGGCGCCCGGCCATCATACTCCCGCCAGTCTGTGGGGACAGACCGACATCACACCTCTTGGCCTGGGGAAAAAGGGGTCCTCTCCTCCCACATCCTCTGGGTGTCCCCCCATGCCACAGCACGGCAGCAGCTGTGGGTGCTGGGCACCTCTGGATGTGCTGGGAGATCCCCAGTTTTGTGCCACTCTTCCCAGGAACAGCCAGCTCTGCACAGCAACCAGTGGCCACTGGCCTCCCCACAGCCAAGCAGGGACACACCAGAGGGAAGGAACAAGGTTCTGTCTGTTGCTGCTGCACTTCACTGGCTTTAAAAAAGAAAATTCTTTCCAGTCTCTTCCTCCAGGTCTTCCCCAGTTACTCCAGATGAGGGCTGGGAGCTGGGCTAACCTCGACAAACACATAAATAAACTCCCAGCAGCTCCACCCGCTGTGGGGCGGCAGCAAGACCATGAGCAGGGCTGGGGACCTGCCGGCTCTTCTCCCTCAACTTTATATTAATTGCTTTAAACACCCCCTGTGTCCTGCCCGCTGCTGTTTTCCATGGAAAGTTCAGTTCTGTTAACTTTGGCTGGAACTTGCTGCTATTTTTAGTAGCTTTAAAAACACCCAGGGAGGTGCCTGACTATATTCTGCTGGGCCAGGAAGGGATCTCTACTGAAGGGAGAAATATTACTGGCAATAAAAATAAATAAACCTCACTCCTGTCTGATTCACTTCAGCCACACTCAATTGATGCCACCTGAATCTTGGTCACAGGGAATGTGACCTGTGTGAGATGGCAAATGAGCTTTAAAGTGGGTGCAAACATGACAAGGACATGATAAAGCCAGGGTAGTGGACTGCTGTGCCCTTGCTATGTTCGTTCCTAGACATGCAAATGTATTTTTGGTGATTTCAGTGCTCTATGGATCTGCAGCCAGAACTGTGCATGGTCCTGCACATCTCTGACCCATCAGTGTTCACCTCCACCTGTTCCCAGTGCCTTCACTGCCCCCAGGAGCAGCAGCCCTGCTCCCTGGGTGCCTGCAGCATGGTGGTACAAGATGTGCTTCCATGGCTGATCCTCAGGACAAGCTCAGCCTCCCATGGGGCTGCTCCTTACTCATTCACAGCACCAATCCCATGGGACACCACACAGGCACCTGTTTTGGGACTGGTGACAAGTGGCAGAGGTCATTCTGGAGCCCCCTCCATCCTGAACTTCACCCTTTGGTCTGCTCCTTCCAGCTCAGTCCTCCTGGCCCTTCTCCATGCAGCACCCTAGGGTTCCTTGTGTGACACTGAGTGGCTGCTTCCTGACGCTCTTCCTAGGGCCAGCATGGGGAGGAGAGAGCTGACAAGCCAGAGCTGGCCTCTGCTGGGACTCATGACCCCCATCCCAGCTCCATGTCAGGGAATGCAGGTCCTTGGGTCTGGGCTGGATGGAGAGACCATGTGGTGGCCACTGCCACCCAGGACCACTCTGAATCCTGGCTCTTAGCCACCTCCTGGCTTCCTCTGTGGGATGAGCTGATCCAGCTGGCCTGAAATGGCTCAGCCTTTCCCAGGCAGTAAGGATAATTCAAGGCTGAAAAATCAGTATTTAGCAAAGCACCTGTTGGCTGGGAGCAGCATCCCAGAACCCCAGGCACAGCCTCCCTGCCTGGCCTGAGACTCCAAATTCTGCCTCTGCCCCTGGGTCTGCTCGCTCCCATCCCAGCAGTGAGAGGAACCCCTGGATGGCACAGGGAGCTGCCCTGTCCCCCACCCACCCTGTGCTGGCTCCCGTGGGAGTGTTCCCAAGGGTACTCACTGGAAGGGATGGCAAAGGGGGGCATGGAGGCTTGCGGGGGACCCCAGCCCTTCATGTTGTAGGCAGACACACGGATGTGGTACGCTGTGCCCTGCAAGGAGAGCAGCACACTCAGCATACCCTGCCTCTCCTGGCTTGGCAAGTGAGGCAAGGAGGATCCCCCCAGCCCACTGCTCCAGGACACCACGAGAAGCACTGGGAGCCCACAGCTCAGGTCACTGGCTCTTAGCTCCCCTCCTGTACAAGTCCTTGGTATGAGACACTAGAGGATCCCTGTGGCCCTGCTAGGTGTGTCTGGGGAATGCAGAGGAAAGACTGGACATTGCAAATGCCCCTCACCAGAGAGTCTCCAGCCTGAAAGACTCAGTGCTGTGGACTGGGGTGCTGGAGTCCCTGGAGACTGGGAGCTGGCCCAGTACGCTTCAAGGGCTTGAAGCACAGTGACAGTGATTAAAGCCTCTGATTAAAGCTCAGTGAAGCTGCCAGATGTTGCCAGGCCTCCAGGCACTCATGAAGGCGACAGGAGCCTGTGAAGCAGCTCTGAGAGTGTGATTGATGGGCTTGAAGCAGTTCCTTGCAGCGATGCTGCTCTGGGCTCTGCTTGAGCCCCTCCTGCCACACTGGGGGCAGCTCCTGCCCTGACAGTGCTCCTGGGCTCGGCACTGCTGCTGTGCCCAAGCCGCTGTCACCTCCCTGAGGCTGCTCTCTGCTCCTTCAGTCAGTGCTCCCTGCCTGCCTGCCCCTGGTAAGGGTGACCCCATGTATCCCAGCATCTGCCCATGATGCCATCCGGAGCTCCATCCCACCACGGTCCCCGTGTCCCCAGTGCTGGCCCAGGCACGGCTCTTGTGCTTCTCAGGAAGATAAAACAGCAGGAGCCACAGTCCCAGCAGCCATGACCCTGCTGAGCTCCCGAAGATTGAGATGGGGCTGGTCTCCCCTCTCGGTGACATCGGGGCTGGGGCAAGGGGTTGGACTGTGCAGGTGGCAGAGGAATGAGCCCTTGATTTATTGCTCAGGAAAAGCCTGGGTGGACACAGGAGTGTGGTGGGAGCCAGAAGATAAATCAGGCATTGGGTGAATGGGCCCATTCTGCCTGTCAGTGCCGAGTCCCCAGGCACCCTGTCAGGGAGGTTCCCCACTGTCGGAGGCTGCGGCCGTGCAGGGACAAGCAGATGCCTCTCCCAGCCCCACACTTGGCTCTGCCCAAGCTGTGCCCATGGCACGCAGCATGGCACAATCCTATTGTTCCTGCTCAGAATGATCACAGAAACAAAGAATCATTAAGGTTGGAAAAGGCGTCTAAGATCATTGAGTCCAACCACTGCCAAGGCCACCACTAAACCATGTCCCCAAGTACCAAATACATGTCTTTTGAACATTTCCAGGGATGATGACCCTGCCACTGCTGTGGGCAGCCTGTGCCAGTGCCTGATTCCTTCCCCATGGGCTGCACTATGGCCTGTGGCTTCTCCCAGCTGTGGGTTCTCCCTGCTGATCGCTGCCCGCTGTGGGCACCCCCGGCACTCACCGACACCAGCCCCTGAATGGTGAAGTGCAGGTCCTTCAGCTTGTCGATCACAGCTTCTCCCAGCAATGGCGAGAAGGTGGGGGAACAGCTCCACTCCACTGCAAGGAGAGATACCCCAACGTGCCATGAGGCCCTGGAGTGGGGACAGGCCACCAGGGCTGGGGCTGCATGTCACAGACAGCAGCTGCAGGGGGACTGAAAACGCACAGGAGATGGAGGCAGCAGAGTGAAGGCAGGGGAAAAGGCAATTCATGGTGGGGGGAAGGTCATAGGGAGCTGCTGTCCTCACCAAGCCACATAAGATGGTGTCAGCATCTTTAATTGGTGGTTCAGAAGTGGGGGATGGAAGAAATTCTTACAGAAGCCAAAAATACCTGGTTTAAGTGGGTGAAGGGTGCATGACAACAAAGTTTTCCCAGAGTGCAGGATGAGGGGGCAGCCTACAAGTGACACCCCAAGTTTTGCCTTGGTGCAGGATGATGTTTGGTCTAGCTCAGAGCATTTGGGTGATGGTCAGGCTGTCCTGGCTTCTTCTGCGCTCCAGCATAAAAGTGGCCTGACTGGGGCTTGGCAGCATTGCCCATGGCTTTGTTGTGTTGACATGGGGTGCAAGGTACCTGCTGTGGCTGTGTGACCCTGCCCTGTGCAGGAATCCTGGTCCTTACCTTTGTACTTGGTGACAACGGCAGAGTTGACACTCAGGGGCTCCCAGAAGGTCACCTGCAATGAGGAGCTGCTGGCCACAGAGAGGTGGACGCTGCTGGGGGCATCTGGCACTCCTGGGGACAGAGGGTACAGGGACTGCTACAGTGAGGATGGTCACTCTGAACATTCCTGTGTCTGTCTTGGGCCTCTCCCTGGCCCCAGGGACATATTCCCTGATGGAACACGTTCTCCCCTCCATGCAGCCACACTGCAAGGCCTGGCCACAGGGTGCAGGGACCCTCTGATGGGTGCTGGTGCCATGCATAGCCCCACTCCTTCCCCTGAAGCCAGGACAGCCCCCCAACCCCCAGCCCTCCTGTGGTCACTCACGGGCATGCTCAAACCCTGCCTTCATGCGCTTGTAAAGCCGGAACCGCCACTCCCAGGCCTTGAGCTGCTTCTCCTTCTCGGAGCAGTCAGCGTTGGGCGCCTCATTCACCACCTGTGCCATCAGCTCGTTGACACGCTGCTCCGCTTCCCGCACCAGCGTGGACAGGTGCAGCGAGCGGCTTTCCAGGCTCACAACTGTGGGAGGGTGGCCATGGCCACAGAGCCCAGGAGGAGAGGGAGAAGAAGGTGGTTAGGGCAAGCTCTGCCTCTGCTGGCAATGAATCCCCACCCTGACACCCCATCCTCCCCTCTGTGTCCTGCTCCTGGGGTCCCCTCGAGCCCTGCTGCAGCCTGCAGCAGTCTCCCAGAGCCCAGTGATCGCCTCCCCACCTGCATCCAATGTCCATAGTGTCCCACTGCACCACGCTGGAGACCCAGGTGGTGAGCAGAGTGCAGCTCCCTGTCCCAACTCACAGTGTGGGCTCTCCTTTGCTCCTGCCTGCAGCAGGGCCCTGGCAATGGGAGCGTTGTTGGTCATGATGGCGATGTCCAGGGGCAGAAGCCCCTCGCTGTTGGGGGTGTTGAGGTCCAGCTCCTCAGGGCTGTAGTGCTTCAGCAGCTCCTGCACCCTGTCAAGGTCCTGAAGCTCCACAGCCTCAAAGAGTGCAGCATTGCTTTGGAACTGGGTGAATGGAGAAATGCAGCTGGGCTGAGCACAGGACACCCTCCATCCCACCAAACACCCTGGACCCTCATTAGCACCCCATGAACCTAATGAGGGAGAGGGTGCCCTCATCCCAAGGGCTTGGGAGCATCAGCTCTTTGCAGACACATCTGGATGACGCCAAGGAAACACCTGGACCAGCTCCAACTGAACTTGCCACAGCTTCACTTAACATATTCTTGTGCTCTCACCCAGGTTCCAGCACCACCCACACAGGGACCCTCAGCCCCCACAGACCCTGTGTCCCCATCTGGCTGGAGGCAGTAGGCACTGACCAGGTAGGACTTGCGGAGCTTCTCCTTCTCACCCCGTCCCACCAGACTGCCCTCATCAAAGGAGGTGTAGTTGACGCGGAATTTCCCAGACAGGTTTCGGTAGAGCCTCTTGGCTGCATTTGGTGAGGAAGGGCCTGGTGGCTTCCTGGCCTGTGCCAGCTGCAGGTCCCGCATCTGCTGCGTCATTTTAGGGGAGGAGGACCTGAGAAAAAGCCAGGAGGGAAATGAGGCACGGAGGATGTGCCAGAAAGGCAGAGGCACATCTGTACTGTCAGGATCAAGACAGGAATCAGGAGAGCCAGAAAGAGGGAATGGGCAATGTGAGCAGCTGCAAGGTGGATGCCAGTGCCAGCAATGCCCTCACCCATCTGTTTTCAGCTGAGGTAGATCTGTTCCTCCTCCTCACCACTGCTGATGGCTCTGCAGTGGTGCCAAGGAGCTCATATGATCCCTGCAGGTAAGACATTTAATTCCAGACACAAGCTGGGATGCCCAAAGCAACCTCAAGCTGCTCAGCTCTACAACTGGCCTGGATCCATGTCACCAGGGCAATCTCCCCACACACCCAGTCTCCACCATCCAGCTCCTACAGAGATGGGTTGCCCCATCCAGGGATGCCCAGCCCCCTCAGCAGTGGAGGCTGCAGGGCCCAGCAGCCCCCAGAGCCGTGCTGGGTGAGTGCTGTCCATCACCGTTGGCTTGGGATAGCCTCTTGTACCCTCTCCACACCCACCCTTCTACAGGAACCCATGTCCTGCACCTACCACCATCCCTCAGCCCTTTTTGGTACATGACTTTTCTTGGAGTTGTTATTCCAGCAAAGGGCACTCTCTGGAAGTAAAGTGGGAGCAGGGAACATTAAGGGCCATTTCTAAGGGCATCCAGACAATGCCAGGTCCTGATGGGGACCAGTGACCCCAGTCTTCTTCCTACCAAGAGATCCTCACAGCTGCTCCTTACCTTCTCCCTCCATTAACCTACAAAATCTTTTCTCCTCTCTGATTATAGAATCACAAACTGGTTTGGGCTGGGAGGGACCTTGAAGACCATCTAGTTCCAATGCTCTGCCAGTGGGACGCGATTTTGATTCTTATTTTCAATATCTACAAGTCACAGGGAAAGCTGGTGTCTTTTCTGGGGCTCTCCAGAGTGGGAGCTGTGCCTCTCCCTGCAGCCAGGATCCTCCTATCTCCATCAAGACCTTATCCCACCAGTCAAAATCCCCTGCTTTGGTGTGAGCATGGCCTTGTTGCTGTGTGGGGCTTTTGCCCATGAGTCATCCCGTATGGCATGGAGGGTTTCCACTGCGTCAAACATCTGATCCTCTTCTTGCTGGAGCTCTGGCACAGCTCCCAGAGAGGAGCATCATGTCTAAGGAGCATTTAGCATGGCTACACTTCACACAGTTTCTCTCAGTTTTGACCCCAGACCCCTGTGTATAAGATATTTATACACAGGGGGATATATTAGGGGCAAGGTCTTCCCCCCTTGCTTTACTGGTTAAATATCAAGTGTGATAAAAGCATGACATTTGGCTGAAGATCATGCCAAAACACTCCAGAGAGGCTGTGCCTGTGGTAAGGATGTTTATAAAGCCATCATCATGAGACAGGATATTAATAAACCCTCACTCATTTCAGATGAGGCACAGTGGGCTGCAGAAGGACTTTAATGATTTTACCTTTTATTACTGTGATATTTAAGAGTGGAAAATGCTGCAGAGGTTGGCTCCTGGCAATCATTCATCTCACCAGCTTCAGCCTGTGGATTTAGAGGTCTCCAGTGTGGCCCAAGCCATGGTGTCAAGCTGCTGCCCTGGGTTGCTCCAGGAATGGACATTACCTGAACACAGGGCTTCATGGATCAGACACTGAGCACCAATCACACCATTTGCAAAAGCAGACAGGTGTTTTGTCACTTCAGGTGGCAAAATACCCTTGAGCAGCCACGTGGGAGTGGGTGAGTTTTGAGCAGCAGAGTCCTACTGGTTCTGGCGGGGAGGAAGGGATCTGCAGCCAGGAGTGTGTCACCATGGTGGGACAGACCTGCACAATGCAAGGAGGGGCTGGAAATCCAGTGCTGTGGTCTCCAGGACCTGCCTGGCTCTGGACATGGAGTCCTCAGCCTGTGCACAGCACGTGTCATCATGGACAGGGAGCAGCCCCTGGCACAGCCTCTCCTGAGGGCTCCTTGTGCCAAGGCCTCGCACACAGCACACACTGCCTTCTGCAGAGGGCAGGGACAGGATCCCAGGGGGCACAGGGGCAGCAGCACATCTCTGCTGTCACTGGTGCAGAGATGAGGAAAGCCACCTGTGCCTGAGCAGGCAGAGCTGTTCTGGAAGGAGGGGACAGGAAGGCAGATCCTGACCCTCAGGCAAAGCCTGAGATGCAAAGCATTGCCTGGCATATTTAGGAACTGACTTGAGAGGTTCTCCAGCAAGACCTTGCTCTTTCTCTTGTATTTAAGAGTTCCCTGCTACCCAAGTTCTTCTGTCTCCTCTCCACCTCCAGCTGCTGCTTTGAGGTGAAGGTGGCTCTTTCAGCAGGCTCATCAACAAGATGTGCAAATTCCACTGTGGCTCCCCTTCTTCAAAGGAGGCAACAATGCTCTCCCACACAGAGTGCTCTTCCCTCTGTGGAAGCTGGAGCAGACCCTGTTGTAACAGATCCCTGCTCCATTTGTGCCTGCAGAATCAGGGTTTAAAATGGAGTGGTGCTTTGGAGAGAAGGTCCTTTGTTCTGCCAATTAAAATACATGGCAAATGACCCAGTGCAGGCAGACTGCACAGCTGGGAGGAAACTCTCTCAGAGATGGCAGAAACAGAGACACAGAGAAATTTCTCACTGTTTTCCCTCCTCTAATTTGCTTTTAATGAGAAGTAAAGAAATGGAAATTATTCAGTGCTCAGGAGTGAACATCTATCTACATTAAACCAGCTGCCCCCAAGATAAAAGAGTTTCCTGCCCTGTGGTTATGAGTCATCTGGACTCAGTGAAATGGTCTTGATTTATCTAGAGCTAAACTTTGCTCTTGTTGCAAATTATTGTCCTACTGTCTGCAAGCAGGGGACAGGTGCTTTGCCTGCCCCAGCAGTTCAGCTCTCTGGCCATGGGGGATGTGTTTGTGATCATCAGGGAAGTGATGTGGACATCAGGTTTGCAGTGCCATAAAGCCCCACACCAGCCAACTCCATCCCCCTCTGCACAGAAGAAGCTGAGGTTCTGTGGAAGGATGAATTGGGGCTGGTCAGATCCATTTGGGGCCAGTTTTGGGCCTCTCATGACAAGAAAAACCTTGAGGGGCTGGAGCGTGTCCAGAGAAGGGAACAGAGCTGGGAAGGGGCTGGAGCAGCAGGAGCAGCTGAGGGAGCTGGGAAAGGGGCTCAGCCTGGAGAAAAGGAGGCTCAGGGGGCCCTTCTGGCTCTGCACAACTCCCTGACAGGAGGGGACAGCCGGGGGGAGTTGGGCTCTGCTCCCAGGGAACAGGGACAGGAGAAGGGGAAATGGCCTCAAGCTGTGCCAGGGGAGGGTTAGATTGGATATGGGGAAAATTTCTTCCCTGAAGGGGTGGTCAGGCACTGGCACAGCTGCTCAGGGCAGTGGTGGAGTCACCATCTCTTGAGGGATTTAAAAGCTGTGTGGATGTGGCACTTGGGGACATTGTTTAGTGGTGGCCTTGGCAGTGCTGGGTTAATTGTTGGATTTGATGATCTTGAATGTTTTTTTCAATCTTAGTGATTCTAACTATGATTCTGTCTCAGGAAACCAATGCAATAGAGGTGGTTTTCTTTTTTTTTAAAAGCACATGAGGACGGACAAGGATAAGGCACCTTCATTTTTTCCCTTCCTCCAGCATTGAACACAACCAAATCCACTGGGTCGTTTATAATGTGGTTTATGGATATCCTGAGTGTTAATGTTTGCAACACTGCAGATCTTGGCCTAGTAAAAAGTGTTAATAATCGTTGCAATTCCTTGATTTTAAGTGAATTTTGTTGAAGGGCGTAGCCCCTCCGAGTCTCCAGCTGAGAACCAGTCCCTGACAGCCAGGGCTGCTGTGGCCAGGACAGAGCCCAGGGGGCTGGGAGAGCACTGCCCTGCCCTGCCCTGCCCAGTGGGTACCTGCACAGGCAGAGAATGACCACCCTGCTCACAGCTCCCAGGCAAGACATAAGGAAAAAAATTTTATCATGAGGGTGGAGAGGCCCTGGCACAAGGTGCCAGAGAAGTTGTGACTGCCCCTGGATCCCTGGAAGCGCCCAAGGCCAGGTTGGACGGGTGTTGGAGCACCTGGGACAGTGGAAGGTGTCCCTGCCCATGGCAGGAGGTGGGATGAGGCAAACGATCTTCAAGGTCCCTTCCAACCCAGAGCAGTCCATGATTCTGTGATGTGGCTGGTGGGGACCATGGTGACCATCCCACAACCTCTCACCACCAGGAGCCTGGGCTGTGAACAGCTCAATGTGCCAGTGGTGCTGCTGCTTGCAGCAGTGACCTTCCAGCCACACCCTGAGGCTGCCTGGTCCCTGCTGCCCCCCAGGCTGGCTGTGGGAAGGAAAAGCTCCCGGGTGCCTGCCCCAGGGAGGCACTCCCAGGCAGGGAGAGGGCAGGCTCCAGGCACACGACATCAGCTCAGCACTGTTCCAGTCCCTGGAGTCAGTGTGGGTGGCTGTCACTCCAGGGAGCTGCTCCCACCATTCCCAGCCTGATGCAGCAAACAAGGAAGCAGCACAGCTCTGTGCATGAAGAAAAGGGAGCCTGAAGGATGAAGGATGAAAGATGCTGATGGCTTTCAGAGGACAAGGGTTGGTATTGGGAGCAGAAGAGGGACTGGGCCCTTGCAGAGTTTGCTGAAGCCTCACAGCCATGTGGATGTCAGTGGTGTGTTAGCACAAGATGCAAGGGATGCTCTCCTGAACCAGGCTCCAGTTCAGTTCACAGGGGTACCCAAGGGTGGAACAGGCAAAGGACAGGAGAACCCTAAAAGCCAGTTATCAGGGAGAGACAACCCAATCCAGCCAAGTTCACCCCAGCCAGGAGCTCGCAGCAGGAGGTGACCAGCACCAAGCACGGCCAGCAGGGCAAGGGGGCAAATCTGCCCCTCTGCCCCACTCAGGTGAGACCCCACCTGCAGAGCTGCCTCCAGATCTGGGCCCCCAGCACAGGAAAGTGAGTCCAGAGGAGGACACAGAGATGCTCC